CATTAAATTAAAAATAGAATAGTACGTACCTTAACTTCCGAAGAGAGGATTGATATTCCAGTTTCACCGATTATTTTGCGAGTAGTTAGTTTTCTTTAAATAAATCAGAACTGTATTAAAGTGAGGTTGGATAATAATTTTGGGGATCATTTGAAATTTTGATTATATTTAAATAAAATAAAACAAATAATAAAATAAAACATTTCGTAAGTTAAAATTTCTAAATTTTATGTTTATCTAATTGTTAGTAAATGTTGTAGTATGTTCCTGATGAAGTTGAAAAAATAAATATCAACAAAATATTGAACTGTTGAAATAAATGTAGTTTTAATTTAAGTTATAGACTGCTCTCCTCACATTTCAGCACGATTCCGTAGTGGCGGTTCTCGAAATAATGATAATATTCCATAATTTAGCCGTTTGCTGTATATGTATATAACATATATGTTATATACATATACAGCAAACGGTTAAATTATGCAATATTATCATTATTTCTAGAAACGCCGAGTTTTGGGGGAAATCCCGAAACAGGTCGATTTTTGTTATAAAATGCCCATCTTATAACATACATGGAGTAGGGATGACATCACCGGTGTGGCTGTAGTGACGTAGTCGTTAATTTTTTTAAATATAAATCGATATAATGCAACACCTCATTTAAACAAGAATTTAATTCTCTATTTAACGACATTACATTTTTAACTTAAATATTTTTTAAGGGTACAAAAACAATTGCTTTTAATTTAAATTCAACTAAATTACAACTAATGATTTAATTAATAATGTACTTAAAAGTAACCAAATTATGCATAATAATTATTTTAAATTAAATGTTAAAAATGCTATTCATCGGTTTCTTGAGAATATGCGAATCTACGTACACATTCATCAAGTACGTTGCGGATGACTTCTGGAATAACTAGACTCATGTCATGCCTAATTCTATCAAGTTCTGTAAGTTTTGGGGTCTGTTGACTTAAACTTTTGATTTTATATAACCCGACAGGAAAAACTCTAGAGGTGTTAGATCTAGTGACGTTGCTGGCCACTCTATAAAACCTCGTCTTCCGATCCACCTCCTGGGAAAGTAATGATTTAAAAATTTACGTACTTCACGTGCGTAATGTGTAGGGGCTCCATCTTATTGAAACCAGATATTTTCACTAGGTAAATTTGGATTATTGGTATTTGGATACATGTTAGCAAGGACAGGTATAAGTAGATTTATCAAAAAAGTTAAATAAAGTTCTCCTGTTAGAGTTTCTTCAAAGAAATAAGGACCAATGATTCTGTCATTATTGATCACTGTCCATACATTTACTTTCTGAGGATATTGCGTGACTCAGTCATCCAATGTGGGTTTTCTTGACTACAATATCTGCAATTTTGACGATTCAATGTACCATGTATAAAAAATGTGGCTTCATCGGAAAAAAGGATCTGATTAATGAAATGTGGATTGCGGATACATAAATCCTGGACAAAATATAAAGACGTTACTAGATTTTTGTTTCAATACAGAGATGTTTGCTTTGCAAATTTTAGAAAGCACAGTGGTCAAGATTTGAATTTGATTTCGCCAGGTATAAATCGTTTGATTTCTCTTTTTGTTATTAGATTGCGTAGTTACGTCCATATATAGTTATTTTATAACTATTGTCTAAGACGGTAATAGATTTTGTTTCGATCCAGAGATGTGGCTATACAGCTCTGAAGAGATCTAATGTGGCCGAAATTCGTATAAGCGGCTTGCCGCCGCTCTGTATTAAACCAAAAATCTAGTACCGTCTCTATATTTTATTTCTTTACTCCGTTTGGAGTACCAGAAATTGAATTCACTACGAATTTTGACCATGATGAACGGCATGTGAAATGCAATCTTAGATTTTCTTGCCGAGTAATTTATCAAGCTGTTTGCTTTGCAAGTTTTAAAAAGCACACTGGTCAAGACTTGAGCCAGGTAGAAATCGTTTGATTTTTTTTAAATCCTGCATAATTTCAGAAAATTGAAACCGGCGATCGGGATCGTCGTCGTTTAATTCCTGATGTAGTTGAATTTTGTAGGGATGTTATTTTTCTTTTTTTTTTAATGCGTAATACCAATCGTTGGGAAACTCCAGCATATTCACTCATTTATGTTGAACTACTGTGAGGATTGTCATTCAATAAAATATCAAGTTTCACATTGTCTTCATTTTTAGGACACCCAGCCCTTAAAAAACTATTAAAAAGTAACAAAACCCCAGGACCAGATGATATGTACGCAGAAACAATCAAGTTACTTAATGAAGAAAACCTAGACATTATTGTCAAGCTCTTTAACGACATCTACGATACGGGCCAGATTCCAAAAGATTGGCTTCGATCTACATTTATCGCCCTACCAAAAACACCACGTGCGAACTTCTGCAAGGACCACCGACTAATAAGCCTAATGAGTCACTTTTTAAAACTTTTCCTGAAAATACTTCACACTAGATTGTTTAAGAAATGTGAAGATGTCGGTGGATGGAGTCAGTTTGGTTTCAAAAATGGACTTGGCACGAGAGAAGCGATCTTTAGTATGCAAACATTGATACAGAATTGTTTAGATCAAAGAAAGGATGTTTTTATCTGTTTCATCGATTACGAGAAAGCATTCGATAATGTAAAACACGAATTGATGATAAAATACCTACAAGAGTTGGGATTGAATGCAAAGGATATAAGAATCATCGCCAATCTGTATTGGAATCAGACAGCAACAGCACGTCTTCAAAATTCCAACGAAACAGAAGATTTCTCCATTAAAAAAGGAGTAAGGCAAGGTCGTATACTGTCCCCAATGCTGTTCAATTTATACGTAGAAAAAGCCTTCGCAGAAGCAGTGGAAGACTCTAATAAGGGTATTAAAGTTAACGGCATATTTAATAATAACATCAGGTATGCCGATGATACAGCCATAGTGGCAAATAACATCGAAGATCTTCAATGCCTTTTAAATGATCTAACTATCACAATGATCTATCAGGAAGTCCAAGAAAAACATATTTGCAACCATCAAAAAAATATATCGGCCCAAAAAAAAAGTTTAGGCCAACTTGTAGAAAAATATAATCTTCATTGCAAAACTGTTCAATGTAACCCTCGGGTTCAATGTAACCCCGTTTTACGGTACAAATAACATTAAATCTGTACTGGCATCAGCGAGCTAATATAAAAATAGAAGACCAAACATTGGACGAAATAGAAATACGTAGAGGAGTACGACAGGGTTGTATATATTGTCACAGCTCTTGTTTAATATCTACAGCGAACAAATGTGCCAAGAAGCTTTCTCACATGCAAACGAAGGGATAATAGTCAATGGAGAAGTTATGACTAACATTCGATATGCTGACGATACTGTGATAATGGCAAGAACAGCAGAAGGTCTACAACATCTAGTAGAAAGTATGAATGAGATATGTAATAACTACGGCATAAGGATGAAAGTCAAAAAAATAAATATATGACCTTCAGTAAGAATCCAATACATGACACTAGTATTACAATAAACGGTACCCAACTTAAAACAGTAAGTGAATACAAACACTTGTGAACCCTCATCAATGAAACAGGTGACCAAAATCACGAGATAAAAAGACGTATTGAAATTGTTAGGTCTACCTTTATAAAAACGAAAAAAATATTTTGTAATCGTGATATTAGTATTCATCTATGAACTAGAATGTTAAAATGCTATGTATTCAGTACTTTGCTTTACGGTGTTGAGGCATGGACTCTTCAACAGAGGAATATTAAAAATCTTGAAAGCTTTGAGATGTGGTGCTACCACCGTATACTAAAAATAAGTTGGGTGAATAAAATTACAAATGAAGAGGTCATACGCAGAATAAATAACGATCCAGAAGTTATCATGAATATAAAAAAGAGAAAACTTGAATACTTAGGCCACCTAATGAGAGGACAAAAGTACACATTCCTACAAAATATAATGCAAGGAAAAATCCAGGAACGCAGAAATCCAGGCCGTAGAAGAATGTCCTAGGTGAGAAATTTAAGAGAGTAGTTTGGTTGTACCACTAACGAATTGTTCAAAACAGCAGTGAATAAAATTAGAATCGCCATGATATCCACTGAGTATTATTCTCTCTACAATCTTGCTGATGGCAGGTAGTAAGCTTATTGGCATGTCGTTTTGCGGGAATGTACTGTTTTTTTTTTCTGGGCTTTGGTAATATTATGACATGGGCCTCTTTCCACCTATTTGGGGATTTTTTGAATCTTAGCATCGCGTTGACTATATTTATTATATATACTATGGCTCTCGCTGGTAAGTATTTTAGAGCCCTGTTCGTTATTTGATCGGAACCAGGTGCTTTTTTCGACGAGCTGTTTTTAATTATCTATTTAACTCCTCCGGTGTTGTACAAGGGATGATTTTGTTTGGGTTTTCGGGCTTTCTCTTTGTCTTTCGACATCTTCTATGAAGTCGATGTCCTCGTCTAGGTGGTAATTTAATGTACACACTCTCTCGAGAGAGTACTCCCCATTACCTCTGCTTTTTCCTCTGTGGTTTAGACTATTCCGTTTTCTCCATGTAATGGAGGGATTGGCTTTCTGTCGTTTCTCAGTATTTTCTGAGAATCCAAATATTTTGCATATTTGGTCCTTGCTCCTTTATGTCTCTTATGTGGTTTTCCCAGCTTTCACTACGGTGTTATTGTAGTGCTGTTTCTTTTAGCATTTTTTTATTTATAAGCACTTATTAAATTGTTACATTTTGAATACATAGTATATATTAAAACTAACCTTTTCTTTCCAATTGGTTACTGTACATTATAATTTATTTAAGATTAAAAAATTCTTTGTATAAAAATGTGAGTTTGTGTCAGATTAAGTTTTTAAAAGTGCAAATAACTTAATAAACTGCATACGTAATAGGTAAGATAAATTCTTATCTAATACTGTAAAAATGTTGATAGTTTAAATCAAATAAATAGAGTGGAGTTAGTAATAATACCATATTCTGTTACAGTTCTCTGTGCTTTCCGCCACAAATTTAAAGATGCCGCTTACCTTATATATGGTTGATGGCAGTCCGCCATGTCGGGCTGTACAATTGCTTGCTAAGGAGCTATCTGTCACATTTACTCCGAAGAATGTGAATATTCCAGCTAAAGAACAATACGCTCCAGAATTCTTAAAGGTATTGTTAATTTGAATATATTTTTAAATAATTTTATTTAATTGCTTATTATCTTTAATTTTGGTACGTCTGGTACATCTTCTTGGTTATTGATTGATTCTTTAAGTGTTTCAGTGGCTGCATAGTTCGCTGCAGAATTTAGTCAGGAGTTGTATTCTTTCATTTCTGTCTGTAATTCTGTTGTTTTCGATTATTAGAGCAATGATTTGCTTCTTCCCAATGAGTAATGCTTTTCTTGTTTTTTTATAGTTTTTCCGTTTTAGATGGCATCAAATCTTTCATTGTATTTTCTTATATCTTCCTTAATACTTTTCCTTATTTTCTTACAAGGTTCTGTGTATTGCATTTTTTGTATGTTGCTAGTTACTTTCGTTGTCCTTCTTTGTTTAATTATTACTTTGGTACTATCAGACAGTTTACCATGTTCATTTTGTTGATGCGGGCCTTCAATTTCTTTTGCAATATCAAGGACAATTTTCATTAATTAAGAGCTGCCGATTGGGTCATGTAATCTTTCATCAATTTCATCAATCTGAGTTTTCTTTTAGATTGTTAATATTTATACCAATTACTGTTGGTTTTGTAATAAATTTTATTCTTTTCAGTTTCAGATCTAGAACCATTTTTAATGCTCTTATTAATCTATGGTCGCTGTCTGTTTTAAATTCATTTATTACATTGACATGTATTACACTGTTTTTTTTTTTTCAGTGTAACTATCTGTTTTCATTATTACACATTCTTCTTAAAGTATCTATTTCCCAAAGACATCTTTTGGTACAATACATTTGGTACAATAATAACAAAAAGTGTACAAATATTTGCATTTGCAAATGATGTTGGTATCATAGCTAGAAGCGAAAGAGAGATGATAGAAGCATTTAATGCGATAGAAAGAGCGGCACAAAACAGCGGCCTAAACATTAACGAAATAAAAACCAAATATATGAAGGCCAGTAAATCGACAGGCAAAAGAAACCTACAGAATCTGAAAATACGAGACTGTAACATCGAAATCGTGAAAAGTTTTACATATCTAGGTTCACCAGTTACCGCAGATAACAATATCAATAAAGAAGTTAAGAGAAGAATACATATCGCTAATAAAACATATAATGGACTAATTAAACATTTATGATCTAACAACATCACAAGAAAAACCAAATGCAAAATATATAAGACCCTGATAAAACCGGTTCTTGTATATGGATGAGAGACGTGGACACTGTTGAAAAGCGATGAGAACCTATTAGGTACATTTGAACGAAAAATCCTTAGATACATACGCTGCTTTGAATGAATAATCACACATTTAAAAAAACGTAATTTTTCTGGAGAAGCCATCAAAAATTAAACAAAATATTTATGCTCATAACTTTTTATTAAATTGAGATCCTTTCACATTAAATATAAACATTAGTAGTGTGTTAATTATTATTTGCTTGTGATATAAACTTTTTGTTACTTGGCCATGACAAGAACTTCAAAATAATGAAAAACATTAAGCACTTCGACTATAAGTACAACAAAATTATTTTGACAGACCGGCCCTGGCAAGGTATGGTTAAGTTGTACGGATATCGTACTCCTAGTTTTTAATAAAAACAAGTGGTTTTATTAAATAGTTTTTTAAAATTAAAGTGTTTATCTACTAGATACTACTACGTAAGTTATCTATACGTAATTATTATTTTATTAGTGTGAAAAGAAAACGTCAATAATAAATATATGCTACCCTACAATCATTTTGTGAGGTTAGCTGTTATAAGTACCTTATAGTAGCATGCGGTTAGTTTTTCACTTACCAGAGTCGGAGTAAGGCCTTCGCCGTTACAGCTTAAAATGACTTCACAGAATGTAAACACACCTTCCGATCTAACCAGTCCAGTAAATCAACGTTCGAATATTACAAACAGTTATGCATCAGCCGCTTCACACTCTTTTCCGAGTAAAACCCAAGCAATTGTATTTAGTTGCCTCAATAATGCTAAACTGCAGGATTATCTCATTCCTTTGGGCATCAATCCAAAAAATATTATTTTTTCATCTAGGTTATCTCATAATAGAATCTGCATGTATTTGGCAAACAAAACCGTAGTAGATAACTTCATGACACAACATGGCTCTATGTTGGTACTCGGCGAAGTTGTAACAGCACGAAGACTTGTCTCTCCAGCAGAAAGACTAGTCTTCTTTGGAGTTTTCCCGTCAACTTCTCTTCAAGTATTAGTTGAAGAATTACAGAATATTGATTTATAGCTTATTTCCCCAATATCATCTCTGAAAATTAGCTCGACTCTCCCCGAATATAGTCACATATTGAGCTTTCGGAGGCAAGTTTATATAAGCCCTATAACATCACTAATTCCAGATTCTATTCTAATAAATTTCGATCAAACACCTTACCGTATATTTTTGTCACAAGGTACACTTACCTGCTTTATTTGCAAAAATACAGGACACATATCATCCCAATGCAATAACATAACTCATATTGAGTCAAACAATGAAGTACCAAATCAAACAGCTTCAACAAGTATACTATACAAGGTACCAAACACCCAGCAGTCATCAAGTTATCCATTATCAAATCCAAGCATATCACCTACACCTACAAATCTCCATGACAAAAATATTACTAACGCTCCTACTCATAACAACACTTTCAATCAACCTCATTCAGTAGCAATAGCTTTTTCACAAACTTCGAAAGCAATATCCTATAATCTATCAGCTCCTTTTTCATTAGATACAACTGCAGAAAATTCTAATAAAACTGATACATCAAGACAATATTCTGAAACAACCATTTTAACCAATCTTACAAATAAAACTTCAAGCTCGAGTTTTGTCACTACCAACGAGTTTGCTCCAGTACTTCCAAATGTAATAAAGCCACAGCATCTAAGTGAAAACTCTAATAGCAATTACGAAAACGCGAGTTCTTTCATAAAACGCAATATTGGTGAGATCGTCACGCCTCTTTAGACTCAGTAATTTCATCAGAAAATCTGTTTGCAAAACCCAAACCCTCTAAACCAAAAAAACCGCGCTCATCTAAAGTCCCATCTACACGGGAAACTCTTGAAAATTTCATTGATAATCATACCCCACCATTCGTTTTAAATTACGACCAATTGTCCTTACTGATTGATAATGTTCAAGGCTCCTCCGACACTATTATCGTCGTCAAAGAATTTACAACTGATATGGATGGTTTACTCCATTTTTTACAAAGCAGCTATCAATATGCAAATGATAGATCTACAAAAAGCAAGTTTACAAAACTTCAAAAGAAACTACACAACCATTGAGAGAAAGAGATTTCTGGCTTAGATAGTGACTCTTCTGTAGACAATTGTTCAGTATCATCTATCTAACTCCGAATATGTTAACATTCAACTCGATACTTCAATGCAACATTGATAAATTTTTTCATCGTCTCCCTATGCTACAGCTTCTTTTATCTAAATATTCTCTAGATATTATTATTTCTTATGAACATGGGAAAAGCGTCCAATTTTTATGGGTTCCCTCACACGTCGGTATAACAGGAAATGAAGAAGCTGACAGGACTGCACGAGAGGCAATTTTAAGTGATTTGTCAAAGCCGATAGACAAGTGTGTTTCCAGTGACTTAGAAGCTTATTTTAAAAATAAAGTGTGGTGTTTGTGGCAAAATGAGTGGTCTCAAACTAATTCCAATCTAAATAAAATCAAAAATAATATTTTTCAGTGGTTTCCATCGTCGCTGAATAGACGAGAACAAATTGCGGTTGCGCGTATACGCCTAGGACATACCACCAGATTAACGTACTCCTACCTTTTCACAAAGAAAAATCCACCTATATGTGATCAGTGTAACGTCCGATTAACAGTCGAACATTTTTTTAACAATTTTTAGTAAATATAACCAAGAGAGACAGCGCTACAAGATCCCAAACGCTCTACTACAGGCTCTAGGTCAAAACTGTTCCTGTAACAATATAGTGAATTATCTTAGATCCATAAACATTTTGTACAATCTGTAGGTGTTTAACTTTGTTTTTTATATTTTGTTCCATCGCTAATAACCTTTTGGTGGATGCGACACCTTTTTCTAATAAAAAAAAATTATTTTGAACAACATCACAAAGCATAATGCGTTACTCGAGCTATTTTAAGGTGGTCTTGAAAAATGACACAAGTGGTAATAATACTTTAAGTGATATTAAGAATTTTCTAAAATAGTGACACAATTGCAGTAGAGACAATATTGATGAAAAATATTTTGTTATTACTATACATTTTCTGGTTTTATGTTAAGATTAGTATGTTTTCTCTGTATGCTTGTTTCAAAACAACATTATTATTTGCAGTTTTTCTTGTTTTCCCAATGTTGTCTATTTTAACTATTTTAAATTCTGTGTCTTCGTATGATGTCTTATATAAGTAACAATAATTACTGTCCGAGTTATTCTTTTCCACTTTCAAAATTTTTATGTCTCCCATCTTTACTGTTTCTTTTTCTATGTTCCTGGAAAAATTTCTGCCTATGGAATTTGCCAGCTCTTTTATGACATAGAAATTATCGTGTATCAACTCATTTACTTCATAGGCTTTGCCAGTTTTCTTTGAGTTTCTAATTATGTGCGCATATTGGTCAGGTGAATATATAGGTCCTGACTTTAGAGCTTTTTTTATTCCTCTTTTGATGAGGAAGTGAACATTGTCTCCCTCATTTTGAGTATGTCCCTTAATTAGGTATTTATGAGTGATGGAGTTGATGAAATCGAGATGATAAACGACATACACATAAAGCAATATAATAAACTGATTTTTCTGCTGCCCGCAGTAGGTATCAGAGTAAAAAATTAAGTCTAATTTTGAAGCGAGTTCCTCCGATTGGTTTTTTAGGCTGATCATAAATTTGAGCAGACAAGTTCCAATTTCTATAGCTCCTCGTTTGCCTTCACCCTCATGCCAGATAAAACAAGCAGTGTCTTTAGACTTCAAGTTAT